TAATCGGAAGATTCCAATACTTACCTAAACCAAACCCTAGACTATCATTTCGCTCGGTTCCTCGAGTCTTGATCTCTTGCCTCCCTTGATTCCTCTGCTCCTCTTAGGGCAGCTGCACTTGGGACAACCTGTCGGAGAAGAAGGTCGGCGACTCGTCGCTCCTCCCCTCGTTCCTGTTCTCCGTTCGGGAATTGACTCAGGTAACAAGGTCTCCATTTGCATTCTGGTTCCAAAATATGGTGCTTGGTCTCTTAGTTTGCTTTATACGATGTGAAATGCTCTTTAGAGTTGATTTAAAAATTGTATGGACCTTTATGTTTTTTATAGCATTTGCTTTTATATTACTAAGATGTGTGAGATATGTTAGATATTAAGTTTAAGCTTAAACAATGTTGTTGTAGCCAAAGAATCATGGTGTATGGGGAAGAAGAGCTTGTTTGGGATAAATTGTGGAGATGTGTGAGATATGGTCTAAAAGTATAGAAGCGATTTCAATTGATGTTCAGCATCATTGTCTTGATAACGTTAAGAGAGTGGTATTTTTGTGCTAAATTATGTTGTTCTTTTGAGAGCTATAATGGCAAGTGATTTGATGAGTTTTATTATTGATAGTTTAAAAGGTCTGAAATTATGATTGTATAAATTCTAATGCTTTGACAGTATATGCTACATTGATAAAAGGGAAAACAAAATTTATATTTCTTTTTTCTTTTCTTTTGTTTTTTTTTTTGGGAAATTTGAGGGCTAAGCCCAACTTTCATTTATGCAGAAAGAAAAATACAAAACACCTTAAAGAGGCGGGAAAAAAATAAAAAATAAGAGAAAGGCCTATGACAGTAAAGAAGAAGGAAAAAAGAGAAGAGAGAAACAAATAAAAAGAGCTCAGATTACACCCCCTGACATCAAGAAGAGCTCCATCCATAGTTGATAAATGGTTTGTAATACATGAAATACGTTAGAGTGAGATTTCAGCAAACCTATATAACTCAGAAAATTATTTATGAAGGTTACAAAATAGCAGAAGCTCTTTTGAGCGTGGATTGGGTATAAGTCCAAATGTTAAATTAAATTTTAATGATTTGGACAATTATTAGTGGTGGCAGATGGAACAGACACATTGTGGCTTTTATTAAGCTCACATTCATTATAGTAAACTTTGAGGATAAATGAGGAACTTGAGAAAAAATCCTAAAGTTTGTAGGGAGGAGACTAACCAAGTCTACATTGCCAATTAAAAGGAGTATTGAAGGAGGAAGGAGTTGAAGGAACATCAATTGTAAAGTAGTAGATTTCAACAACATAAACTTCACTAACTATCTTTGTAGAGTTGAGATCTTAAAGGACATAATGGGAGTGATAGAAGGTTACAAAATAATTATAATCCTTAATAAAGTAATGTGTAGTAAATTTACATGAAATTACAAGACAAACAAATTGAAGAGGGGGAATGAATTTTCTAAGGAGTTATAATGCTTTTTGAGAGATGTGGGAGGGAACCCATTTACTAAAATTATGAATGAAGGGAGAGGGAGGTCATGGGGAGAGAAGAAATTTTGTGTTTACTTGTCATATATAATGAGTCTATGAATCTAAAATTTAGGACATTGAGCAGTTAGGTGTATTAGGATTAGAAGTCTGTAAGGCATTACTAAATTTAGTCGAACATTACTCCAATAAATGATTGGTATGACCGTAATGAGATTTTGGAGGAATGGACTTCCCCCTAGGACTGCATCTAACAATAGCTCTCCCTCCATGGCTGTGACCACAACCACCAAAGTGCTGAGCAGTGGGCAGTCTTACTAGAAGGTTTTGGAGAATGAGATGATAGGTCAATTGCTCTATGAACTCATAAAAGAGCATTTGCAAGGCCGAAAATTGTGGAATCAACCATCAGGTGATTGTACTTGTTGAAGGGATGGATGAAGACTTAGCAGCCATGAACTCTTCATTTTGCTGTTGTCAGATCTTTGAGCGTCTGTCCGTCTATGGTTAAAGATTTAAATCATCTTACTTGACCTTGTTGGGTTATGGGGTAGTTCTAAATGGGGAGATCCTCCTGGCAGAGAAAATATATTAGAGTACAAAATATAAACCTTGGAGATTTCACTTTCTTAAAAGTAAGCAAAGCGGAGAAAATCTCAAATTGCCTTAATATTTTTATGTAGCATTACTTTGAACATAATAGAAAGCTCAGGCCCTTTTAGTAGTTAAGTGGAATAATTTAGTTCAATGCTTGCCGTTTTGAGAACTGAAAATTTTCAGCATTAGCTGGACGGGACATCCATCAAAATAAGAGTTTGATATGGGAATCAACAATTGAGCCTGAACCACAAGAGACAATTGATACCATCAAAATTTATAGAGGTAATGATGGTGGTGGAGAATTTCACATGTTTTAGAGGAGAGAGGAAAGCCATGAGCTTGTCTGAGATAAAGACTAAGATGAAGAGAAGAGGACAGATCATTATTTATGAAACATTGAAGAGTATGGGAGAAGGCCAAAATTGTAGTGAGCAGCAAACGAAGCTAGCATGCAAGGCAATGCAATGACAGGAGTGAAGGTGAGAATAGTAAGTACAATGATTAAGTGGTTGGTAGCAACAATGACAACTGGTATGAATGCACAGTGGGGATATAAGCAGGACGGCGCTCTTTGAGTGAGTCAAGCGGTAGGAGTAAATGCATCAAGCGAAAAAGGGGTCGGAGGTTTTAAACAAAGCGAGGGGCATGAGCGGTTTATGTGGGATTAGGAGGATTAAGAGAAAACAAAATATTTCATTATTAACCTGATATTTAAAGCTTATAAATAAAAATACATTAGAAAAAAAAAAGCGAGTATACTGAACAAATCACGAATATTTTAAAAACATATAATCACCTTCTAGTGTTTGGAGTACTGCTTTATTTCCATTATGACATAACGGCCTCACTATTCCCTGAAGTAGAAATAAAAAATACCTTTACACTATTATAAAAATGCGTTACTTTCCAAAACAGTGCTCTTATAATATTACTACAACCATTTGTAATATGCTGAGGTACAAGAAAGTTGAGTGAATACACATGCTTGTCTTGCTCAGTAGAAGTAGACCTAAGTATTTATTTTTTGAATTTCTCTTTTCCAATCATAGCATCACATGTGAATGTTATAGAAGAAAACTTTTTTTTTTGTGTATTATATTGGATTTTTTCTTACTCACTGGTGGTAAATGCAATACATTTGCATTAAATGAGGTACAGGCATGGCTATAATGTCTGCCAGAGTGTTTAGACAAATCACTTCTAGTAAAGAGGCAGCTACTACACTGTGGAATAGAGGATTTGCTGCGGGGCCAAGCAAAGCAAAGAAAGGCAAAAAAGGCGGGGCAGGCGCTGATGCTCCAAAAACTTCTACACTGACCAAGGAAATTAAGAGCACCACAGTAGTTGGAGCCAACATCCTCAAGGATGGTTCAGATCCAAAAGTATTGCCTGATTCAGAATATCCTGATTGGCTTTGGCATTTAACCGATAAGCGTCTTCCATTGAGCGAACTCCGGAGAAAGGATATTGAAGCTCTCCCTTATGAACAGCTTAAACGCTTTGTTAAATTAGATAATCGTTCTCGAATAAAAGAAAATAACACACTTAAGGCTAAGAACTGATTTTGAAGCGTGAAGGCACGTTTTATAGTTGTCTTGTTATGATGTTAAACCAGAGTAGAGAATTTATGTGGCAAAACTGCTTCATCCTTTTTCCTATATTGAGAAATAATAGACCCCCATTAAAGTTATATCATTGTAGACTTGAGCCATCAACATGAATCTATCATTGAATTTATATCCTGAGATAGTTGAGCTTATTCATTATTTTCAAACTTGTCTTATTGTAGAAGTTAAATATTTTTGTATACTGATTTTTTTTTACATAAGAATAATTATTGCTGATACATGAGATTATTGATAGGTTAATGTGTGTGTGTGTGTGTTTATATATATATATATATATATATATATATATATAACTTTTAGTTTCCATGTTAAACTGCAGTATTTTATGATATTTATATGACAGGCCAGTAAATTAAATTGTTCGCTTTGTTGTTTTCTCTTATTTTTATGTTAGCTTATCTAGAACATCAGCTTGTGGAATGTCTTCCATTTTTATTATTTAGTTGAAATAAGATTTTTAGGTGTTTTAGACAGCTTCCTGTTTGCTTCCAAAGAATGGCAGAAGTTTTCAGTGCGTGCAGGCAGTTTCTAGACATTTAGTTAAATTAGGAAAATGACTGATATTTGTAAAACATATCTAATCTCTAGATGTAGCAAGGGACTGCTGTTAGGTTCATTACAAAATTATTCAAATATACTGCAAGATTTATTAGTTTTGCAATTGGCCTCTTGAAAGCTACCAAGTCTACTATGTTCCAATGAACTAATGCTACCATCACTAGAGTGGACCTCTAATTATAAATACTATCACATTGCAAATAAATCTGAATTGTGCATTCACTTTTCTTGTTTTAATCCATAACAAGTTAAGGCACGACTAAGACATATTCAAGCATCTTGTGTTTTACAACATCTTATCCATTGAACAATAAATTTTTGTTTTAATTTTTGATATTTAAATTTGTGTATTGTTTTTAAGGAGAATGTTTAAACCATGACAGGGAATTTTGACTATATATTTATCATTATTATAGAACTCGGTCAAATATCTATTTAGATGCTTGGAGAAATTTGGGCAGTAATTTATTTTGCACTGAAATATTCCCTCGTTTAATCACAGACTTGTTTGAAGTCTGTTGAAAATAAAATTGATCCAAATTGGTTCCTATTCGAGCATTAGTTCAAATTAGGTTCAAATCTGGATGAATTTCATTTGATATTGATTCAAATATAGTTTGAACATGGTTTAAACATGGCTTAAAAATGGCTTGAACAAAATTCACAGAAGTTATGAATCATATTTGAATAATGTCTGAATAAAGTTCAAACAAGATTTGAACATTATTTTAACCTGATTTAAATAAAATTTAAACATGGATTTGAGTGAAAAAAATGGTCTGAGTAAGGTTTAAATATGTTTCAAATGTGATCGAAAATAGTTGACAAGTTATAACATGGCTATGTTACAATAAAGATAATAGAGTATAATATAATATAACATAACACGTTAAAAGATTTAAATTATTGAATCCTTCTAGAATTTCAGGTCCCATATTGTTCGTGCCCATACAATTCAGGGAAGACTTGTGAAGAGAGAGATGAAGAGTGATGGGTCTATGCTTCTCCAAGACTTAGCCCCTAGTTTTTTTGCGAGATGGAAGGAGACAATATTGTTTTTAGGTGTTCATGTGTTCTTCAATCTTGAAGGTGAGAGAGCTCATCTATTTTATATGATTCACAGATGGCTCTCTACCCTTAAGGGAACATGCAAATTGAGGAGAAAAATATAAAATTACAGACCATGCAATACAAAGTTTGTTCACGAGTCCCAATGAAAGACGACGACTTGAGTGTCAGGTGGCTCATAAATGGACATAAAGCATATGCATGTTCTTTAATGATGGTCTTCATTTAAACGGTTGTTTGATCCCAAGGAGTGCTTGTTGAGGGATCAGTGGGTCACCCAAGCATATCACTCTGATAACTGGTGCATGACAACTAGCACATCAGCTGGTGAGGCCAGCAAGTCACCTCGGTAAGTCACTCTAGCAATTGGCATTTGGTTGCTATGTGGTGGAGGATATGGACTCTCTAAGTCCTCGAGGCTTGCTAACATATGAGTGTACAAAAATATTATAGTATTTATTAATGGCTTGTAATAACGGTTTAATTTCTATTTATTCCGAGTTATTAACTTTGATTTTTATTCCTTTCCTTTTTTTATTGTATCTTGTTTTTATTTCTTTCCTTACTATTATATCCTATAATGAACATTTATACCCCTCTTATATCAATAAGAATTACCTTAGTTCTATTCTAACATGATATCAGAGTCATGGTCCTAGCCTAGCTTCCATCGAACCTCTCCTTGCTGCTGGTTGGCCAGTTCGGGTATTGCTTTTCCCTCCTGAGTCGACTAGGTCTGCTTCTAGGCCCTGCTGGCCCAGCTAGGTTCTCCTTCACGCACTCCAGCCAATCGGATGTCCCTCCAGATTTGCTGATCTGACTGCCAGGGCTACCTTCTAGCCGCTAGCTAACTGCTCGGTCTCCCTCCAGGTTTGTCGGAGTCCCTTCATAAACCTTTGTTCTGCCATCGGGAGCCTTCTGCCAGCCGACTAGAGGGTTTAGTCCAGTTAGAACCTCTTTCCAAGACCATATCTCTTCTCTTTGGTAGTGAACCTTTTGAGGTCTCAACAACCCAACATATCGTTTGGCTCAATCGGAATCACGGCGGACTCCTCCAGCATTGAGCCAGCATCGGAAGATGTTCTTGAGTCCACTGGATGATCAATTCCAACCATCGTTCCTCTGCAGACCGGAGGACAGGAAAACAACACGAACTTATTGTTCACAACCATAAACTAAACAATAGTGACTTTCTTCATCTGTGTCTTTGTTCATCAAAAAACGTGAAAAATTCAGTCATCTCTCTGATATGATTCGTGAACCTCCAAAGATTGACCCGTATGGAGATTGGGAAGTGGATAATTCCATAGCCATGTCATGGCTGATCCACTATATGACACGAATTTTCTTAGACACCTCATAAAGTTGATTGGAATTCCCACATCCGAGTAGATATTACAGATTACTGTCCAAAGGGAACTAGCAAAATGAAGGAACATAAATGATCGGCCAACTAAAGTCTGGGTTGCATTGTGGATGGAATGCGGCCTATACTATGTCCACACTCGGGAATCTCCGACTGACCTATCTTTTTAGAAAAAGACCGCACGTTCCAGTTTTTGGTAGGCCTTGACAAAGATCTTAACGAAGTTTGGGTTCGTATTCTTGGCAGGGATCCTCTTCTTTCTACTCGCGTTGCATTCGTTGAGATTCGTCGCGAAGAAAGCAGGGAGCTTGCCATGCTTGGTTTTTCCACTCCGTCTACTGGAGCGTATGCATCAGCCTCTAATAATGCTCAACCCTGTGTCGGTCACCCCACATGTGATTACTTTTGCAAACCCAATAACACTCGTGATAAGTGTTGGAAGCTTCACGGGAAACCTGCATCTAAACCTTCGACCAAATCCTCCACTGTTAAGGGTCTCGCTACCAAATTTGAATCCAAAGCGGTGCTGCTAGCCCTTATCCAGGACAATCTGGAATTCTCTGATTGTCTTAAGAGTCAAATGGAGCACTTAATCAAGCTGTTTGGATCCAGTCCACTCTCTTCCGACCCGTCGACCTCCCACTTTCGTCAGGGTTACCAATTCTATGACACTCACTTCTTTTGTCTCTTATAGTCCGTGGATCATTGATTCAAGTGCCATAAACCTCATGATTGGAAGCTCTCAAGTCTTCTAGACATACTATCCATGTTCAGGGAAATATACTATTAAAATTGCTGACGTTTCTCAGAGTTTCATTATTGGTAAAGAGTCTGATGTTTTAACAACAGATCTAACTCTGGAATCTCTGTTACATACGTCTCTATTGAAATGCAACATTTTATATATCAGTAAGTTGACATATGACATTGATTGTATTGGTCATTTTTACCATGATATGTCTTTCAGAATTGTCCTTATGAGATGATGATTGGAACTGCTAAGCGAGTAGGCGTGCTCTACTTATTTTAAGGAAAAAACACGAAAAATAAGGACACTCCACACAGTAGTTGCAATTCATCTCAGTCCATTGAATGTCCTATTATGTTACACAGTCGTTTGGGTCATCTTAGTTTCTAGTATTTAAAAAAAGTATATCTGTTGATGTTTACTTATAAAAAATTTTTTAATTTCAAATGTGACATGTCATTTAGCTAGATATCATTGTGTTCCTTATCCACTCCACACTTACACGCTTTTCACTCCTTTATCTTTTATTCACAGTGACTTATGGGGACCCTCTCGCACTCTCAGTTACACTAAACAGTAGTTTCTTAATTTGATTGATGACTACACTCGAATAACGTATGTCTATATTTTAAAAGACAAATAGGAAACTACCGTCACCTTTAAAAACTTCCACATTTTCATTTTGACCAATTTAAAACTCATATTCAAGTCCTTCAGATTGATAATGGTCGTGAATTTTTTAACTCTATGTTAGGAGAATTCTTGGTAATAAAGGGCATCCTCCATCATAGCTGGTTTACGGTCACTTCTCAATAAAATGGGATAGCCGAGAAAAAAAATACTGACATATCCTCGACGTTGCTCGCTTCATTATGTTTCAATCTAATGTTCAAAAATATTTATGGAATGATGCTATACCTACCGCCATCTATCTCATTAATAGAATTCCCTAAAAAATTCACAAAGTTTGATCCCCGTTAGTTGTCTTGAGATCGTTTTTCCCTAATAAGCTATTCTTCTCCACTTCAGATCCAAAATTTGGTGGGTGCACGATCTTTGTTCCAACTCGGAGCAAGTGGGAAGCTTGTAAGCTTTACTCTTGTTTGGCTTGTTCGAAATTGCTCATGTTTGAAGTCAGCTCGTGTTCAAAATTGGCTCATGAATAGTGAGTTCGTGTTCGACTTGATTTAAATATTCTTGTTCGTGTTTGGCTCGAAATTGACTTGTTAAATTTATTTGAAAAAAATAGATATAGGGTGTTGGATTCGAACCTGCACA